GAATTGCACTTCATAGAAGAAAGAAGGGATCTGGCAGCTGCACGAATGGAAGAATATCACAGGGCCACGAGAAGATACTATGACAAACAAGTTAAAATTCGTTCAATCGAAGTAGGGGACCTGGTGCTAAGGAAGCGAGAAAAAAGCAAACCTCTCGAAGGTGGAAAAATGGCACAAAATTGGGAAGGCCCGTATCAAATATGCAAGAAGTATGCTTCAGGAACGTTTGGCCTACAATGTACCGAAGGTCGACCGGCAGGCACATGGAATACAGAACATTTAAGAAAGTTTTATCAATAAAAACGATTGTTGCCACCTCTGCAAAGAAAAATATATATAGAGGGAGACATAACTTCCAGAAAATCTTAGCTCATGGTTAACACACAGTCATTCTGGATGACCGAATGAAGAACGGGTTAACAACATGGAAGGAAAATCATTCTCAGCTAAAAGAAGTTGACACTAGAATTATGAACGAATAAAGGGATCAAAACGGCTTGGAGAATCGATGCTCAGAAAATCTCAGCCCATGGTTAACACGGTCATTCCGGATGACCGAATGACGAACGGGTTAACAACATAGAAGGAAAGTCATCCTCAGGTAACAGAATTTGACCCTGCAATCATAAGAGGGATCAAAACGGCTTGGAGTTTGACGCTCAGAGAGTCTCATCTCAGCGATTAACATGGGAATCGTTCTGGATAACCGAATGAGGAACATGTTAGCAGTTTGGAGGGAGCCATTATCTCAGCTAACAGAATTTGACCCTGTAATTACGAATTGTTAAAGGGATCAAAACGGCTTGGATTTTGATGTCAGGGAATCTCACCTTAGCTTTTAACACGCAGAATCATTCCGGATGACCGAATGAGGAACGGGTTAACAGTTTGGAGGGAGCTGAGCCATCAACTTAGCTAACAGAATTTGACCCTGTAATTACGACCGGGCAAAGGGATCAAAACGGCTTGGAGATGGTGTCAAGACTATAAGTATGGACGAACCAAGCGACGTTCGGATAAGGTACAGATTGTCGTCCGGGGAATCGGAACTATGGTTTTGAAAAATCTCGCCTCAGTCATTAACTTGATTTGGAAGCGAGACGCCCTTTTAGCTATAAGTAAGGAATAACCCGATCCGGTGACCTTGCTTACATTTTGAAAAGGGTTACCTCGGACCCCTAATATGGATGATACAAGCCAGAGAGAATTGTTCGGAATGCATCAGAATTATGAGTTTGGAAGGGAGAGAGTCTCACCTCAGCTTGTTAACACGTGGGATCATTCCGGATGACCGAATAACGAACGGGTTAACAGTTTGGAGGGAGCCGCCATCTCAGCTGAAAATTTGACCCTGTGATCACGATCAAAACGGCGTTGAGGGATTCACCTCTGCTAAAATATTTTTGACTTCATGGATCACGAACGATAAAGGGATCAAAACCGGCTTGGGAATGGTGTCAGGACAACTATTGTCAAAGCGAGCGACGTTCGGTAACATGGATTGTCGTTCCCAGAATCGGAATTTTCAGAGATATGACCGAATGACGAACGGTTTGGAGGAAGACATTATTTCAGCCAAAAGAATTTGATCCTGGCCTTACGACCGAATAGAGGGATAAAAAAGGCTTGGAAACAATGTCAGAAATATAGAGATACATGAGCCGAGTGATGTTCGGCAACGCAGAAAATATTATGAACAAGAGAAATGACAAAAAATCAATAAACAGAAGAGCAATACTTCAACACGGTTAAAGGAAAATATCCAGTTTATTCTTCGGCACTACTAGCCAAAAAGATACAAAAGAAAAAGAAGAGAAGGCGAAAAATAAATATACAAGGCTATGCTACAGGAGAATCGCCGTTCGGGGAAGATAAGGGTCGGGAGCTCCCTGCCTGCGCTGCATCATCAGGCACTGCTTCTTTTCATTTCTACATAACCCGATCATAGGTATTCCCGAACAGATCATCAAATCCCAACTCATCAGGATCGAATGGCTTAGGGAAATGCTCCAGGATCAGATCAAGGTTCCTGTCTAAAAGCAGATCCTGACTTTGTTTCACAGTCTTCTCGGTCAGGACATCTAGAAAAGACTTCTCTTCCGGTGTGCTATCTAGGAGATCGATGCCTGCCTTAACGGGATCTTCGCTTTCACGCAAAAATTGGCCAAGATGAGGTCCCGGGAATTGTCGGGTTGTATTCTCCAGAGCGACGTTCAGCCCTTTACCCCGTTGATAGTCAACTATTGATTGATTGGCAATCTGGGAAGTGTTGGCAGTATAAGGCTCGGGAAGATTGTCACCAAGGACCTTATCAAATTTTACCCCGGCAGATTCAACAGCCCGCACCTTGGCCCGGAGTTCTTTAATCTCCCAATCGTGACGTCGGGTCTTCTCTTGCATCACAGCCAGAGCTGCCTTCGCTTTCTCACCTTCTTTGGCGCGTTCTTGTAGATCTGCAGCTAATTTCCGAGCAGCGGAAAGAAGGACCTGGCTATCGTCTCGATCGCTGGCCAGGAGTTTCATTTCCTTTTCGGCCGCCGGGAAGGCCTTGTGATAATATACACCGGCCTGAAGACAAGTGACAAATGAAGTCAGATAAGATGAACAAATAAAAAGTAGGAAAGTATGGATCAAAATGATGTGTATCTTGAGTGCCTCTTGATGACCTGCCTCAAGAAGATCTGACCAGTGAGTCAGGTTTGTGAAGCTAGGGGGAACCTTCAGCAAAGTGCTGCACCACATGGATGATGGCATTAGCCCAAACAGGTATCTTCCTTCTGCTCTAGGCCCCATGTTTGAAAACTCAACAAACATCCGATCATCGACCGGCGTATCAGAAAGAACTGGAGTTTTCGGTTTGGCAGGCACAAATCTTTTTGGCTCAGCCTCCGTTCCGGTCAAATCGGCCATGTGATCGACCGGGATCAGTATGCTGCCATCATTCCCTCTGCGTTTCTTCCAGGTTTGCTCAGCAGATGCATGATCGGCAATCATCTTCTCCTTGCCTTTTCCGTAGGAAGCTGTCGGAGTAGCGGCAGATATGGAACGCCGAACGGGTATATGGGATATCACACCTACAACAAAGGAAATAAGAGATAAGAAACTAAATTGAAAGGAGGACGATCGGGTTAAAACCTTGTTACACTTACCAATCCCAGCAGATAGCATATTAGAAGGGGTAATAAAACCCCGAAGACTTCGAGTTCCTCCCATACGCAGAGATTCAGCTTGGGAGCGTAGAACGACATGTATTCTGGGCTGAGAATCCCGAATGGGGTAAGCGTTCCACCGATCAGGAAATGGGAGAGAATCGCCTATACGAACGAATAGAAATCGCTCCTCCCAGTCAGCCGGCGGGGTAGGATTATCTGTAAACAACTGACGATCAGCTCGGGCTACCAGCTTCAGGTACCTGGTCGTCCAATAAGGCTGATAGCTGTAATGGTGTAGAAATAAATCAACACTTGGAGCGATCCTCAATTCCTGGCATCGAATTATGAAGCCAGTCAGAATGCGGTAGGTGCTAGGTACGAACTGAGCGGGAAGTACGGAAACCCGACGCAGGAACTCCACAACGAATGGGTGAAAGGGAAGCGAAGCCCGGCAATCAATGCATCAAGATGCACTAGCACGTGTCCCGGTCGGTGCCTCATTGGATGCCTGATAAATCCAGCGTAAAATTCTCTTGGTGGAGGCAATAGTTGGCAAAGTTGTCGTTCGGCATCTTCAGGAAGACGTTGTTTCTGTTTGTGAATACGATTGAAGTGCAGGACAATGCGGGGTGGCCGCTCGGGCATTCCCTTGTTATAGATCTGTACATCGTCCCCTGATAGGCACTCGTCATCACGAAACTGTTCGGTATCTTTTCCTGTGATAGAATTGCCGAAATTAGGTACTTGGGAAGAAGAACCTTTGGCCTTGTTCCCAGCAGAAGTTTTTCCCACACGAATCAACGGCATTTCCTCATATTCTGAGCTAGAAGGAAAATACATAAAACCACTTGAGGAATCCTGAGAATTCTAGAGAGAGAAAGCCTGGAGATACACGAGAGAAAAAAGTTGAAACAACAAGAAAAATGAGGATCAAGCACCTCTCTATAAATAGAGAAAGTGCCGCCCAAAACCTTAATCCATTACGTGATTATGATTAATCAGGGCGTATTTATGGCTCATTGTTAGGCACGTACCCCGAACGGGCAATGAAGAAACATGGTTGCGAGTACTGGTTAACCAGGCAAGCGAACGTCGAACGGGCACATACGTTTTGAGGCAATCTTTTCACACAAAGGAATGCAACAAGGTCCATGAGAACAACTAAATACTACTCGACTCTCCAATTAACGAACATCGAGCCAAATGACTAAGACCCTTCAAAATTGCCGAATAACGAACGGTCTCACAGAGAATTAGCAAAGTCCATGCTAAATTACCGATTACAAAACAGACCGAGCATCGAGCAGAATAATGTGGCATTAAGGCCAGAAAAAACTGCTAAGTCCTACAAAATGATCTGAAGCCCGAACGGCTATCGACACAAGAGGAAGGCCAAATCCTGGTAAATTGTCGGAACCATCTGAGGCCAGAAAAAAAAACTGCTAAGTCCTAAAAAATGAGTAAGTCCTACAGAACTATCTGAAGCTCGAGCGGTAATCAACAAAAACAAAATTCACTAAACGACTGTCCTACAGAACTATCTGAATCTCGAGCGGCAATCAACACAAAAAAGGGGCCAAGTCCTGGTAAATTGTCAGAACTATCTGATGCCCGAGCGGCAATCGAACGGTGATAGGAATGTAAAGTAAAAAATGAGGTTAGAAAACTGTTAAGTCCTATAAAACGGACCGAATCCCGAATGGTAAGCAATCAATCAATAAAGGCAAGTAAGACAATATATGATGCTTTGTGCAAAAGAGATCATATATATATTCATCGGCTCTATCGCCCGGAAAGTACAAATAAGGTTTGCAAAAAAGGAGAAGGGGGGAAGGGATTACAGTTGCTAAAAATACTAAATTCTAAATCTACTGTTCCTCCCTAGTGTCTTCTTCATCACCCTCCTCCTCGTCTGAGTCAGTGGGGGGATCAGGCTCCCTCCCCGCTTCACGATCAGCAGCCCGTTGCAAGTCCCGTTGATATTTTTCGTATTGGGCTTCAACGATGGGCGCCTGGGGAAGATCAGCCAGCTCGACCGGCCTCCCTAGGAATTCTTGCAGTTTGGCAATAAAGGGGGCCATAATATGCTGGCAGCCCATGACATAAAGAGATCGGGCCAGGGAGTCATTAAATTTTTTGCCCCTTGGATCCTGGTCGAGCAGTTTGACCCCCTCGCTGCGGCGGGCATCACCCGTGGAGAATCGTTCGAGATAAGCACCAAAGGTGGCCGGGAGTTCCTGCTGCGCATAGTCTTTCTTCAGGGCAGCGGACTCCTCAGATCCTTTGAATGCTTCCCGGATGGCGGACAGATCAACCTTCACCTCAGCTGGGCCGTCCGGGATACGGGGAGCGCTCTCTTCGAACTTCACCAAAGCAGCTTCAGCAGCAAGAACTTTGGCTTGGAAGGCCCCGAGCTGAACCCTGAGTTCACCAAGCTCTGACTCAAGGCGTTTTTTCTCCTCTGTGGAGGCCTTCCGTTCGGCCTCCAGAGCGGCAAAAGCAGCAGTCGCATTCTGCTCCGCAGAAGTCCGAGCGACGATCAGATCCCGCTCCTTAGCCAGTCGAGCCTCTTTCAGTTGCAAACTGTAATGCCCAACCTGCAGGATGCCGTTCGAGAAATGAGATGGTAAAACGAAATTTAAATTATGAGAAAAATATAGGGAAAAAAGTAAAATACCTTCAGGGCTGCTAAGGCCAAACATTCCATAGATTGCTCGACCGACAGCTTGGGAACAGTGAAATTGTTGAAGAAAGCGGAGGTAGACCAAATCTGGCTTGCCGAACATCCACCTTTTTCTACAACTTCATGAACTAGATCCGCCAGTGAGATCCGGTCGACCTGGCCAGACAGCTGGACGGTGGGCATATCACCCGCACCCTGACCAGTCTCCTGAGCAGCCTGGAAGTGCTCAGGAAATTGATGCATCTGATCAGAACCAAACCGATCATCGACCAGCATGGCATCAAATTGTTCCTGATGGACCTGTTGCAGCTGTTGTGGTTCTGGAACTGGTTGAGAAGATCCAGCATCCTGAGCAGTAATAGTGGAGGGAGTAGGTTGGGGGTTCTTCCTGGCTTTTTTCCGTTTGCCGACCCCACCAGCTGCAAGAACTCTACTATTGTCCATAGATGCGTCTGGGTTGAGAACTAAAAAATAGCAAAGGAAAATATTAGTACCGAGCGGACCTTAGCACGTGGGAAACAAGAAAGAAGAAAACGTTTCTGTAAGGAATAATTGTATTTAGATTTTGATGATGCTATATTTATTAGGACATTAGAGTACCCCCTTTTAGAAATTATGTATTAGAATTTTCCCTTGTAAAGTTCTTAGCATAATCGACTACCAGAAGGCCTCTCTACCAGAAGACCTCCGGACAGAAGATTTTGGCTCTCTGTCTAGGAACAGAAAACCTCAGGGTCTCTGTTACCCTTTAGCTTGACAGAAACCCTCTTGGTTCTCTGTAAGCTACTATCATCAGAAGTGCTCAAGATCTTCTCTGAATCAGTTCTCTGCCAAAGACACCAGAAGGTCTGACACTTGGAAGAAATCCACAAAGCCGGGAAGTCAACTAAAAGATTCCTTCAACGGCTAGGAGTATGAAACGGAAAAGCTACAGTGCTCGCATTAAATGCTCATTTAATGCTCCCCATGCTCCGTGGAGTAATTGCAGATGATTGGCCGCAATGTCAGGATTACTTTATTCCAAAATAGTAACCCGCCAACTTTACCGGGTCCTACTGGTCAAGTCAACTGCTCGCGCATTAAATGCAGTTGTCCTCCTACTCCTCCAACGGGAAGACAACCTCAGTATAAAAGATACACTACGAAGAACAACCGGATAACTTTGCTATAACTTTGCCAAGATAACTTTGCAACTTTTGCTAACCATTGCTACAAGCAAGATATTGAAACTCTGAAAAAGCAAAAAGCCTCCTTGAGATTCAAACTCATTATCTTCTACAAGAGAAGGCAGAAGTTGGAAAAATACTCTTTCCAACTCAAGCAAAGTTCCAAGTGTTCTTCAACTCTTCAAGCTCATCACATACAAATCCTTTGTAACGAAGCTAGTTGGAGGAACCCCAGTTTCAACAGAAACTCTTCTTGCTACAAGAAGGACGTCCAAGTAACTGGAGTAGTGAAGTGGTGATACTTCAAGGAAACTCAGTGAAAGGACCAGTGTTAAAGGAAGCCAGGCAGTGCATCCCAGGACACATCTAGGCTTGAATAAGACGTGGAGTGCTTCTTAAGTACTAGGACTAAGGCTTTGTAAACGGCAGTTTTTACAGCTTAGTGGAACAGTGGATTAGAGGAACGAGTTGTTCCTTGAACCACTATAAAAATCCCTGGTGTCGTTTACTTACTGCTTTTAATACTTGCACTTAGATAGAACTGTCTAACTCCTTGGACTTGGTATCTGTGTTCAGCAGAACTTGTTCTACGAGTTAACAGAAGGCCTACTGCCTTTGCTTCTCTGAGGCTAACAGAACTCCCTGCCAGAACCCCATCCGCTGCCAGTCTGTTCTTTCAACAGAACAGGTTATTCTGTAAATCTGGTACTTAGTTTAAAAAGCTAAAAACCAATACAGTCTATTCACCCCCCCCCCTCTAGACTGTATCCAGTATAACCGGGACCAACAAGTGGTATCAGAGCCTCCTTGTTCTAATAATCTCTTAGGTTATTTTTTGAACAAAGATCCACTTGTTTTTCTGTTTAACCTCATTTCTATAATGGATCACTCCTTGTCCAAGAATCTTATGTTTTCAGATCTTAAGTTTGATGACTGGAGGATCCGGATAAAAGCACATCTCTGTGCCCTACATGATGAGATGTGGGAAGTTCTAGATATTGGCCCCTTCACAAGCTTCCAGAAGGTCAATCCTGAGCATGCCGTAGACAACACCAGACCCCAGATGATCAGTAAAGCCAAGTCAGAATGGACCACTGAAGAGAGGAGAAAGTACAACCTAGACAATATTGCCAAGGACATCCTCTACAAGTCCATTGATGATAGGTACTTCAACAGAATCAAGAAGTGCAAGACTGCTAAGGAAATCTGGGATACTCTTGAGCTCATTGGAGCTGGTGATGAGCAAGAGAAGGACAACAAACTAACTATAGCCAACAAGAAGTTTGATGACTTCAAACTTCTCCCTGGTGAAAGCATCTCCAAGATGTATGACAGGCTCCTCACTCTCACTGGAGAGATCTCTGAGCTTGGCAAGGAACTCACCACCAAGGAGATCAACCTGAAGGTGTTGAGGGGACTGCCCTCAGCATGGAAGATGAAGGTAGTTGTTGTCCAAGCCAGCAAGGATGTAAAGACTTATCCCACTGATAAGCTCATTTCAGATCTCAAAGCTCATGAGTTTGAAATGATTGAAGAGAAGGAAGATGTACCAGAAGAGAGGACCACTACAGCCCTCACCGCCAGCACATCTAAGGTAAATGATTTTGACCCTTCAGTACTTTTATCTGATGAATATATGGCTGCCTTTGCCAGGAGATTCAAAAAGTTTATGAAGAATCCCAAAGATGGAAGGAGTCCATCTTTCAACAGAAAGCCATACCAGAAGGTTAAATCAACAGAAAGCAGTGGAGAGCTTCTCTGTTACAACTGCAGACAACCTGGTCACTTCAAGGCTGACTGTCCCCATCCTAGAGTGTCCAAGAAGCAAGGACAGGATGGAGAAAAGAAGAAGTACGAGGACAACTCCAGAAGGAGAAAGGCACTTGTGACAGAACAGCAAGAGAAAGACCCTCTGTCAGAAACAGAATCCAGTTCTGACTCAGATTCTGATGAGGCCTTCTGTTGCCTTGATACTGAGACAGAAGACCTTTGCCTCATGGCTCATTCTGATGATGAGGTAACCTCTACTTCTGAATCTAGTTTTTCTTCGGTAGGCTTAGCTTTTGATTCTGATTCAATGTCAGAATTTTGGGAAGAGTTTAAGGCCATACAAGCCACTTATTCCTCTGTAACAGAAGAAAACAGTAAGTTAAAAGCTGAAATTCTTGACTTAAAGAAGGAGGCTGAGATCAAAATCAATCTTCTAATTGAGGAAAGAGATCAACTGGAGACTGAAAATGTTTCTCTTCTCAAGAGAATAAGAGAAATAGAGCCTCTCGAGATTAAGTACAAAGCTTACCAGAAGGCCCAGTCTTCCATGGAAAAGATTGTGCTTGATCAACAGATTGGCACTGGTTTTGGTCTTGGTTATGGCTCAACAGAATCAGGTGAGCCTTCTGTAATGCCTAGCACCAGAGTTGCTAAGGCAGATAAGGTCATAGAGCCACTGATTTCTAGCCCCATCTGTCAAGCTGGTGTATCTGGCACCAAGGTTGTTCATGAGGAAGTCAGACCAGAAAAGGGTAAGATAAAGGTTCAACAGAAACCCTTTTTGAAAAATAATGAACCTGGCAGAAAACCAAACAACAGAAAAGGTTTTCAAGATAACAAAAATAAAAGACCATTCATTGACAGACAACCTCATGTCAATCGTGCCAGAAATGATCACCAGAAAGGCAAATATCAAGAGAGAGTTAACTTCAGGCAGAAGAGGTTGGCTGGTCAACTTCAGAAGCCCAAGGTTAACCGTTCCTCTGCTCTTGATAGTATATGGGACTTCTTTCCAACAAAGAAAGCTATGCAAAAGTATGTAAACAGGAAGCATGACCCTTACAAACATCTGCCCAAAGTGAATCACACTTCAGTTTACTATGACTACCAGGTGGACAATGGGTACCACCCACCAAGGTTTCACTTGATGAGACCAAAATGGTACCAACTACCCAGACTCCATGACCCCCCAGGACCCAGCATTGCTTGGGTAGCTAAATCTTTCTTTTGATCTTGCAGGAACTGTGTGCTGGAGCCATCTCTGAACAAGAATGGTTTATTGATAGTGGATGCTCCAGGCACATGACAGGTGACAGAAGTTGCCTAACAGAGTTCCAGAAATGCAAAGGACCTAGAGTTACCTTTGGAGGTAATGACAAAGAAGGTCAAACAAAAGGAAGAGGAAAGCTGATCAAGAACCAGATAATAATTGACGATGTCTCATATGTCAAAGGACTGAAGTTCAACTTGCTAAGTGCTCGCCAATTCTGTGACAAAGGCTACACTGTTGAATTCACAAAGGACTTCTGCTATGTGAAGCATGAGACAACAAAGGAAGTGGTTCTTACAGCATCAAGGAAGAAGAACATCTATGTAGTTGATTGGAACACTGCAAAAGATGGAGTTTGCCTGATAGCCAAAGGAGATTCAAAACTGAGC